CAAATTGAAGTATGTTCCAATTATGATGGAGAGCAAAGGTAAAAGCATGTGGATTGTAGAAAGTTTAGCAACTGGGCTAAATTATTCATTTATGTTGAATGCTTGTTTATGACCTTGGGCAACAAGTCTCGCCTATCGATTAACATTTCCTTGAGAATTAACTTTTTTTGTACGTCCATCGTGAACCTAGAATAGTTTGATTGGACGGAGGGGGGACTAGAACCCATGTTCCTTGTCGTTGAAGAGCATTAAATTCCTCTTGCATGGCCTTTTGCTAATGAGAATGCTTGGATGCTTGAGCACAGGAGGTAGGATCGGGTGGTAGCTGAATTTGGCATAGGAGGTTAAGCTTGTGAATAGGTTTAAATTTCCCTGTTTTTGTACAGGTTATCATGGGATGAGAAGGTGGCGGAGGGACATATGTGGTCGGTTGATAAGATGGTGTTGGTGTTGAGGGGACTGAAGTGGGATCGTTAATGTGAGATGGGGGTAATGGTATAGGTAGAGTTGAGAGGGACGGTGAAACGAAGGGAGTTAGGTAGGTGGTTGGAAGGCTGATTGTTAGATGTAGTTATAGAAGATGTGAAGGTGCTTGGGAAGGAATTTTCATCCAAGACAATATGTCAAAAAATTATGATTTTGTTGGTGGTTGGAAGGCTGATTGTTAGATGTAGTTATAGAAGATGTGAAGGTGCTTGGGAAGGTATTTTCATCGAAGACAACATGTCGAGAAATTATGATTTTGTTCGTGATGGATGGAGACATGTATAACCTTTATGTTGAAGGGAGTAACAGATAAAGATGCATGAAACTGATCTTGGGTTCGAATTTATGAGAAGATTGAGGTTTTTCCATGGATAACAAGCACATCCAAAAATACGAAGATGATTGTAAGATGGTGGAGACTGATGGAGCAGTTCATATGGTGAGATATAAGACGTGATTCTTGTAGGCATAAGGTTAATGAGGTGTGTTGCGGTTTGGAAACTAGCACACCATAATTTGTAAGGAAGATGTGCTTGATTAAGTAAGGCCCAGGTTGTCTCAATGGGATGTCGGCGTTTTCTTTCGACGACAACGTTTTTCTCAAATGTGTAGGGGCATGAGTATTGATGTAGTATGTCAAGTTCATTGAGAAAATTGTTCAGGGTGTTATTATTATATTCCTTCCCTCCATCGGGCCGAAGGATTTTAATTTTAGAATTGAATTGATGTTGGGCTGCTTAATGAAGTTGATAGTGATATTTGTTGTCTCGGATTTTGCATATAGAAGGAACACCCAACAAAATTTGGAAAAATGATCAATAAAAGCAATATAATATATATAACCATGAAAAGGTAATTGGGGAGAGACCCCATACATCACTATGAATAAGTTCTAGACATTTGAATTTTCATCCTATACTAGATACAAATACCTGTTTGTTATTGTTTGTAAGGTTGCATATAGTACATGATGTTAAACTAGGTGGTATGGAAAGGGAGTGACGTTTGGATATGGTTGTCATGATGGTAGAGTGCGGATGTACCAATCGGCGATGCCACAACTTAGCTTGTTGAAGTTTGGAAAGAGATGTAGTCAATGCTCGTGGAAGATAGGTAGATGTTGGAGTGGAGTAGAGTCCTCTAGAACTGGGTCCTTGGAGGAGTATTTGTTCGGTCTAAGGATCATAAATAACAAAGCCATGAAAATCAAATGACACAATAATATTGTTATCTTTGGTTAATTTGTGAATGCATAGTAGGTTGTGAGAGAGGAGTGTATGATGAATTTGAGAAAGTTTAAGCTTACGATGTGGGGAAGAAAGAAGGCCATCACCTTTGTGTTGAATGAGAATCATTTGTCCATTTCCCGCCATCACTTGTTCATTCCCATGATAGGACGTAACCGGTTGGAGTTGACTTAAATCAGAAGTAAAGTGTGCGGGCGCACCAAAGTTGAGAACCCATTCCTTGGATGTCGATTGGAGGGCTTCGGCTGGAGTTGATGGTGTATACTCGAGATTTGTTCAATGCCAACCAAATCGATGCGGAGTGACCAATTTTATGGCAAATTTGACATGTAAAATTAGATCTAGTTGAAGTTCTTCCTCCTTGTGAAGTATTGGAATAACCTCCTCTAGAATTTGCTGGCTGATTTCAGCCTCTTCTCCTGTTATTATTTGTATTGCGACCTTCGTATGTACTCAGCACCATGGGAGTTCTCCGATTAGTAATTGACTTTGCATTCTCATTGTCAATATTGATCTCCTCACTTAAGAGCAGCGAATATAGATCATCCAAAGCCATAGGTTGAAATGAAGTTCTAATGGCTGTTTTGGAGGCATTGTGGGTATAAAGAATAACATCGTCTTGGTCTAATTTTGATCCAGCAGCAGTAATTTGATCCACAAGTGACTAAATACCCATAAGGTATTGCTCCATGATTTGGCCCTTCATTAATATGTTTTGTAATTCACTTTTCAATTGAATAACCTTTGATCGATTTGTAGGTTGTAATCGGTGCTCTAAAGTAGTCCAAATCTTAGTCGTGGTATGGAGATTCATAATATGGGGAAGAATGGTAGGTGAGATAGTAGGGTATAGAGAGACCGCTAGGTTTTTATCAATCAGGTTCCACTCTTGGAATTAAAGATTTTCAGATCCATTAGCATCAAACTGTGGAGGGCAAGTATTGTTGCCGTCCAAGAATCTCGAGAAGCTTTTTGCTAGAAAAATTTTCAGGATATGCGCATGCCAGACATGGTAGTCTGTAAGAGTAAGTAGGTTTTGGGATAATTGTTTCAAGAGAGAGGTAAGAAATTTAAGCGAAGGGGGTATGTTGATGGATTTGGTGGGTATGAGAGGAGTTTGGGAAGTTGACATTGTTGAGTCTTCCATTTGCAGCAAGAAGAGATCATAGAGAACGTGATTAAGAAGAAGAGCCAGTAAGTTCAGATCGCCTGCCCAAGACACATAAGTGTTGATTCCCTAAGTATGGCTATGATACCATAAGAGCAGCAAGAACAGAAAGAATAACAAGAGGCATACCGGTATGCATTACTCATAGGAATAGCAGGAATTCATTCACCTAGCCTCAATTGTAATACAGGTATATAGTAGTACAGGTATATAGTACTAGTATAGAATATTCTAGAGACAGTACTATTGGTTGTAATGAGTGCTCTCTGCCATTCGGTTAGGATATTAATTTTATGGGTGTTTAGGGACCACAATGTATATTATGGTTAGTAACCTTGTAAACTTATTGTATCTATGTCGAAAGCTCTAGAGACCAGAATGCATGATTTTGCATATATAACATTGAACTTCAAAATTTAAAATTATATACATGCATGCTCATTGGAAAAGGAAACATTAAGAATACCTGTACACAATTCCACCATGGAACCTCCCATCAACTGGATTGCTTTCTCTGAATTTCTTATTTCTTCCTGCCCAATAAAGTATCCAGCATTAGATGTAAATAAAGCACAATAAAAATGAAGAGTAAACGGGTGTAGCAAACCTTAATTTTTATTTCATCAAGAATTTTAAAATTATCCAAAATGCATCATGACTTCTTCAGTCAATTAACATCAGCCTATTATTTGTTTATGTACAAAAAACGTCCAAAAAAAAAATCTAGCACATAAATTGTTGAGATGGCGAAAAAGAATAGTTTCCCACAACATAAATTGGATAAGAAATAATAAGAAATAAAAGCGTCTTTAATTTCCCTCACATTGCTGAGAAATAGAAATGTGGAAAAACAAGCACGCACTATTAATTATCTGTAAATTAAAAATGATTTAGAATGAATATAAATTATGCTGCTTACTCCAGCAGAGGCCATCGAGCCAACAGAGCTGCTATTAAGGGTTCATCAAACCAACTAGAACTTTCAGCATGTCAAAGTGCATTTTAATTGGCAGGATTTTCCAAAATTAAACCTGAAGAAAGCAAGTGTGAAATATTTTCCTGCACGAGGACTATGGTTTGTAAAGTTTCTGAGAACTCAGTGGAACTAATTGCACAAAGACAACTATTAAAAAAAGTATCATAAACTTGATCACTGCCTAGAAACAACTCGAAACGCTTGCATGCAACCCTATGCTACCGATGTTGCAAAATCATCAGGTAAAACGCGGCAGATTACTTATCATTAAACCAATCAAACTTTAGAAAGTCTTTCTTAATGGTGGGGGAATGGATGACGAAGGTGTTTGAAATGAATACCTGAGGATTATGGCCTTTTGCAGCTATAAACAAACCACCAACACGTACCAATGGAAGGCAATATTCAGCTGGATACATTTAAAACAAACAAATTGAAGCCATAATAATTGCTTATATTCAGCTAATTTTCATAAAGTCATATCAATTATGAGCTTTCACCAACCTAGGATTCGCATCTCTGCAACAGCTCTTGCAATTGAAACATCAAATTGCTCTCTGAAATCAAGGCATTGGCCTACATTCTGTCTTATACTCATAATACAAATTCAATTCTTTAAAGCAAATACGCAGAAACAAATCAAGAATCTGTGATATTCAAAAGTGCAGTCACAACAAGAAAACATTTAAAGCAGCATTTGAGTTAGTAATAAAACATCTCTGCATTGTTTTATGTTTCAAGTTAAAAAGATTGCTTGATATAGCAATTATATTTAAATAACTGGCCCATCAAACCAATCCATTACATATTTTTTGTGCGTCTGTTCCATCAAGGTTAAAGTACTGTACCATTGAACCAAAAATCATATGAAAAAGATCAAACCAACAACTTACAAAATCTTTTTGAAGAAACACCATGATTATCATGAGAGTTACCTTGGTGTGCTTAGGAAGATATCTTTATCCTGTCACACTTTCCTATTTTAATGCTCAAACTTAACTCTGATGTTATATCCTCATCTATATCAGCATTCCTTTGTAAAATAAATTAAGGATATTTAAACCACACCTATTTAGACCTTATCTTACAATAATAATGAAAGATAACTATTATTATTACACTTACTAAACTCATAATACATGAATCTTTATTTTGCTAATTATAAGTCTTTTATATCTAAACATCTTCATTATTATTCAAACTTTTCATTTAATTCAGTAAATATCCTACCAATTAGAACTGATCAAGGTGCCTCACTTTGAATATCTCTTATAGGCGTCTCCAAAATCAATTAAAAAAAAAACATGGAGCCACTATTAATACAAGATGTTTCTTTGATGTAAATACAGCTAAAATTGGAAATCCTTTATCATTCCACTACTATTTGATAAAACTAGTTAGTGCTTTATCACACTATATTTAATATCTTATAAGTACCCTTGAAACATGTTACCTTGAAACATATTATTTTTTAATGTATACCAAATTAATTATCCTCGTGTACCCTTGAAACATGTTATTTTTTAATGTATACCAAATTAATTATCCTCGTATACTGTTGACCTCACTTTTGGGTTGAGGTCTAGAAACTTAACAATACCAATATAAATCATATGACTATTCTTTTTCTACTCCATACATTTTATCAATAATTACCTTAACATGAACAGTACTTGCATGAAATATCTTCCTAGCATGAAAATTTTTCAATTAATCTCAGCAATATCCACATATAGTTTAAGCCTTTATGTTTGATTCCTCTAAAAAATTTTAATCATCTCCTTTGCTCATAAATATTGTTATCAAGCCTATTCTTCTTCAATCATTTACCATTACCTTGGCCTTCAAATTTCATTGAAGAGATTCATTATCCAAACCACAATGTTATTCTCTATAACTCGTCAAATCTAAATAGAGAACAAAAGCTTTAATTGTAAATATATTATTCAAAATAAACTTTATCATAGTTTTTTGGATCAATAGACAATATAATTCAATATTTTATTCATAAAGCTCTTCCAAAATAATTTGTTTCATAAAACCTCAATTTAAAAGTTTCTCTACATAGAATTTCCATCTTTTACAAGTCATCGCCTAACTAAAATATAAGTTCTTCAATTCTAATGCATCCCTTTTAATCAAAGTACCAAGCGTATTTATCTTTTGTATTAGTTAGTCTATGTATACTTTTTTTTCTTAATATCAGCTACATCATATAAATCATCAAAATTATCATCTTTGCTTTGCTCACTATATGCTTTGTAAAACTTCTATCTTTTGTTGCTTTGCTCGCTACATTATTTGTATAACTTCTAGTTCTATTATAATATTTATAAGATGATAATATCCAATTTTATAACTTTTTAAAAACATATCTAAATCTTTCATAACCTTCTGCAAATCCTAAAACATCTATGAAAATCATCTTAATAAAAATAGTCATCTTACATCACATTTGGCTCAATTGAAAATTTCTAATTATTCTCCCTAGGCAACATAAAATGAAATATTAATATTTGTTCACAATTCATATTATACCGTCATAATTATCCCTAGTAAATATTTCTTTTATTCTTTTAATACATACATCCATAACTACAACATTATTGCTTGATCAAATTCACTCCTAGTTCACCTTACAACATTTGCAAAGAAAACAATATTCGTTAATTAGAAATAAGTTTGTTCAATGCTAGCAAGCTCTCCATGTCATATTTGCTTAATTCATGTTCCTTGCTACACCCCACAGACAGATTGGAACTTTTAAATTCCCATGTCAGAAGTGATGTGGAAGGTTTTGAGGATAATTTCATCATTACCAGCAGTTGACTTGTAAATTGTAATATTTCTAAATAATAAATCTTCAATCATTGTAGGCCACACAATTGCAGCACGGACAATGCCACGTGATCCACTATAGCAGCTATCATTACCATTCCATGAAGAAACATCATTTACCGAATTGTAAGAGAAATTTTTACTTCATTTACTGTAATCTTTTAGAAAAAGTGGTAGCAAGTAAGTTTAATGGGAGAAGAAAATAATAAATCTTCTTCCCTAATGACGTGCCATGAGAATTACTTACCTCTGCTCTTTCCCCACAACGTGCTCTAGAAAAAAGCAACGCTTCTGCATTGATTCTAGTAGAGTAACACTCCATGCTGAAAAAAAGGTATTAAAACTGTGTAAATAATAATGATAATAATCAGCCACTACGGTGCGATAGCTTTCCATAGAAAATCCATGATAATTTGTCAGTTTTGCCAAAAGTTTGGAATCCAATTTTAAAATGCTGGAGGTAAATCATCCAAACCATATCGAACTTCATTTTGGACAGCATGATATTGTCATGTTGTGTAGTTTAGTTAAATAGGAATAATAATAACTCAACTATCCTCATTTGTGAAATTGATATCCTTGATAGTGATGTGAGGTGCATGCGAAATATAATGCTATCACATTTTTGTCTGCACAAATCAAAATAATGATAGTGTCAATTTTAAGAAAAGCATTATCAAATCAGATCTTAGTTAATCAATTGGACTCACACAAAAAGAGATTATGATAACATCAATTTTATGAAAAGCATTACCAAATCAAGTTAAGTTGCATCAAACTCTAATTTAGTTTTTCTAGATACTTAGATATTAATATTTCAAATAAAATAGCACGCTTGATTAGATAGGGAGTTTTACAACTTCAACAATCTTATCAAAATAAAAACTGCAATAACCAATTCAAGTTCCAAAATAAAACTTTGAACATAAGTGCAAAAAAGAAAAGAACACAAAAAATAGCATATTTAATGTGAAAAAACCAGAGAATGTAAAAAAACTATGAAGTCATGCCACACCAAGAAATTCACTATAAAGAATATGAAGACAATTATGCATATTACATCGCACTCAAGCTTCATTGCACTTTGGAAACTCCGATACACTTCTCTCCTCTCCTTCGCACACGAGAAAATTAAAATCACTCATGTTTTATCCAGCAAAGCGGACACAATAAATAAATAAATAACTGTTCAAAATCTGTTACGGGCATCGGGGCACCGCGATAGTGGCATCGCGGCTATCTAAAGAAGCACTAGGGCACTGCATCTAAGTTGTGCTCTCGGTTTTTTAAACTGGATTGGGCGTGGAGGCGTTGCATTCAGGCATTGTTGGTACGATGCCGAAATACGATGCCGAAAGACTATATATGGGGATAAAATTTTCACCACCAAGGGACCATAACCCCC